GAATAGGGTACCCCGCTCCGGGCGCGCGGCGGCTGAAGAAGACGGCAAGAATCACAAAAGTGAAGAGTGGGGGCACGCCGCGCCGCCGCTACGTGCTCTCCCACTCCGCGCTACGCGCTCCCCCACTCCCTGCCTTTGTGCTTCTTGCATCCTTCTTCAGCTGCCGCTCGCCCGGAGCGGGGTACCCTATTGGAAAACTTTATTCAGAACCAAAAGAAAAATACATGAAAAGAATTCTTTCCACTATTTAACCTTTTGATTTGCAGCAGTTCAAATTAAGTGCTGAACAAGAGAAAATTATTGAACAAGTCAACAATCAGATTCTCTTCATTAAGAATGGTAAAAGTATGGATTGTTGTGATGTACCAAAACACACTATTATTCAGGGAAAAGCGGGTGCGGGTGAGTCAAAGTAATGTGTTGCTTAAATGTATTTTATGTTAGTGTGTTTTAATATGTTTGACTTTTTGTTGTTGTTGTTTCTTAGGTACAGGCAAATCATTGATTATAACTTATATAAATTATAAAATTAAAAGTGAATTAACTTGTGGTGCAATTTTTGGCTGAGCGATTAGCGAAGCCTATTACTCCAGTGATGATCAAAAAGTTTCGCGTCTGTCTGTCCGTCTGTCTTTGTGTTTGTCTGTCGTCACGATAACTCGACAACGAATTGAGCCAGCGACCTGGGATTTTCGGGGTCGTTTTGTATCATAAAAAGACAGATCAAGTTCGAAGAAGAGCATTCTAGCTCAAAAATTGGATTTTTAAAGAAACCAAAAACCACAGGTCCCACAAATAATGTTTTTAAAACATATTTTCTTTTTGCACTTCCCTAAGGGGTAACACATCAAAGTAGAGCCCGTTGGGTGAAAATTTCGTCCGTTTGGCTCTATCTTTAACCAATGAGGCACCACAGGCAGTTTTTGACTAAAATGAGCGAAAAAATGTACAACCCTGCATGCTTAGTCGAAGAGACGGGAAGTTGACGGGCCGGAGGCCCGTATCTTTGTATCCATTTTTGCGCCACCCGACTCGGGTGTCAGCGCCGCAGGCCTAGATAGTTGTATGCCAGGCGCGTCGCAGCGCAACAATGTTTCGTGAGATATCGCGAAGCCTGTTACGCGAGACGTGGTCTGGCGTACATCTACAGTCATTTCTTGATTTCGTTACGCGTTTTGGGCCCGGCGACGGATCGTAATCAAGAAACCCCAGGTAGGGACCGGGCACCGCTCCTGGCTAGGGGCGAGGCGGGGCCCTCCGGCGGCCGGTCGCCAGGGGATTAGCGACCGGCCGAGAGAGGTGTAAAGAGGGGGCGTTCGCCTGTTCCGATCAAATTGTGTTCTGTTCGAAAAACGTTCAGTATGTTCATACATGGTAACAGTCTGACTAAACGATGAAATTACGTCCAAACGGCATGCCGAAGCTCCAATTTTTAGGTTTTTAACCGTTATTCGACAACCTATAGTGAAAACGTCAAATAACGGTTAAAAACCTAATAATTGGACTTTCGTCATGCCGTTTGGACGTAATTTCATCGTTTAGTCAGACTGTTACCATGCTATGAACAAAGAACATACTGAACGTTTTTCATGGTTGGTGGATGGATTGCATGGCCATGGCTAATGTGCTCCATGGCAAGGGATGACCATGAGAATTGGCTTTCATGGTCACAACTTAGTCCATTAATGTGTCCAGTCCATGGTTACTATTACCATTGTCATGTAGAACGTCCATGAACACACGTTTGGATATGATACTGTTGTCAATGGACACAAAGACCATGACAGAACTAATCAATGGCCAACTGTATTTGTAATGGACGTGTCCATGGGAGCAGCTGGCTACTAGCTGGCCATGGAATTGATTTACCATGGTCATGGTCAGAGTGCCCACAGAGATTGATTTACAAAGCCAGGATTGTGGCCATGGTACGTGTGTGTTCATGGTCAGAGTGCCTACAGAAATTGATTAACATGGCCAGGGTTGTGGCCATGGTACGTTGCTCATGGCCAGAGTGTCCACAGAAATCGATTTACATAGGCAGGGTTGTGTTTGCCTAAACGGTGAGAGATAGAGGCAAACGGACGAAATTTAAGCTCAAAAGGGCTCTACGTTCACAAGTTACTCCTCAGAAGACAATAAAAAAATATTTTTTCCCACCTCTGGGACCAACCCCTTTTCTTTGTTACCTCCTCAGGCCCACTCAGGGGTGGTTGCCAGGATTTGCACCAACCGTTTCGTTGTCCAGAAGTGACAACAATAATACCCTGAAAATTTCAGACCTCTAGCTCACGTCCTTCTTGGGAAACGGACAGACAGACAGACGAACACAGGGGCGATGGCATAAGCCCGCTTATATAGCTTCTGAACAGAAGAGCGGGCTAAAAAGCATTAAAGCGGGCTTATTCAACCGCTCTCGTGGCCGTCTGTCTGCCTGTCGTCCGTGTAAGAGAAAGGTGGTGAGCTAGAGGTCTAGAAGTTTCAAGGCATCTTGGGGGTCACTCCTAGACAAGAAAGCACCTGTTGCAAATCCTGGCAACCACTCCTAAGGGCCTGAAAGGGGGTAACAAAGAAATAGGGGTTCGTCCAAAAAGTAGGATACAAATTAGGTATGTCGTAGAGTATTATGCGATGTCAAAATTCAATCACGAGGATATAACCATTGCAATGAGGCATCACTCAACACTGTACGACTTTCATACGATGAGCAATAGGCCACCAAAGTTGACTGTG